CAAATCGATTAATTATTGATTCATTAATGTAAGAATATTTCTGTGTGAATTATTTAAAAGTGGGCTTATTTCCATGTGAGCGTACTTCTGTGTCAGCTTTTTTCCGTGTGAGCATATTTCTAAGTGAGCATTTTTCCCGGTGAGCTTATTTCTATGTGGGCATATTTCTGTGTGGGATTTTTTCCTATGAGCACTTACACCTGTGAGCATTATTCCTGTGAGCTTTTATTCTAGGACCATAAAATTCATTTACCACTAGCCCAGAATTTTAACTGACACTTTATTTTATCTGGAACTCTACTAAAATTTCTTTACAGTGTATTTCATACATTATAAAAGTTTACTAAGAGTAGTTATCGTATTTTAGGTTATTTATTGTTACATAGCACTTGAGGGCTAGTTACCTTTGGCAGAGAACTCCAGGGGTTATCTGCTAGGATAGGGATCTCATCAATGGAGGACTGTGGGAAACTGATTGGTACTCTCGTTACACACGAGAAAAATTTCGAGAATTTCCATGAAGCCTAAAGCGCACTGGCCCCTAAGAGAGGTAGTTGCATGGAGTTTCGTAATTTTTCTTATATATAATGAAACTGCCAGCCAGTTTTAATTAAAAAGTCCTCCACGAAGACTTGCCTTCCCTTGGAAAGATTATCCTTCAGCGCTTTTTCGTAATCTAAATATTGTTGGAAGTTTTTCCGAAATAGAAGCATTAATATTGCACATGAAAACAATCACTAAAATTTAATGATGGTAATTAATTCATTAAGTTGCTGGTAATCAAGTTCAGATTAGGTTATGTTGCATACAATACATCACTTCAAATTAATTTTATTAATTAATTGATTAAGGTAAAGCAACCCAAGGGCTATTTGCCTATGGGGAAGGTACCTCTCTGGAGGAGTTTGTGAGGTAAATTGGCTCGTATCCATGCTACACATGAAAGAAACCACAAGAACTCTCATACAGCCAGCCCGTTGAATAGATTCGAACTCCCAGTGTTCGGCGACTTTACTACTTGGTCACTGGAGGTCATAAAGTGTACAGTATTGTTATTAACATACCATGACCATATCCTCTTGACCATTGTGTAGAAATAGTTTGTCCTGAACTGCATTACCAACTAGTGATGGGAAAATCCAACTAAGGATTTTCCTGGGTTGCCAAAAAAGTTAAAGTACTTTTGCTTTCTCAGTTCTGCTGCCCTCTCTAGAAAAAGATGTTTATATATGGTATTTCTTTTTATCTTCCTTTTTTCTTTTTTAACTGAATAAGCCGGCTCTAGTGGTATCTATTTTCTTCGTGGAGGAGGTTTTGAGAGATAATTGTTCTTGTCTATAAGGAAAACAACGAAAACAGCCATGGAGTTAGCTAGTTACGTTAAATTCAAATTCGAGTCGAATTACGAGTATTCAGAGGTCTTGTCTACTTGATGAATGATTGGCTTTAGCTGTAGTAATGTAATATATTTATTAATGTATATAATTCCCGCAGCTGTCTTATAAACATAAAATGTACTGTAAATTTTTCTAACATTATATTTATTTCAAAAACTGAAAGGAAATAAATTATCTTGTAAATTCAGGAAAATAGGGGTAAAGAATGACCTACATTGATTCACTGAAATAAAAAAAGTATATTTATCATGCAATGTAATCCTAAAAGTAGAGTATTTTGTCTCAGCCACATTCCCAGCTGTTACATGCATTGTAATGAAGTTATTAAGTTACTTTCTAAGTAGTACTGCTTTCTCATATAAAGGCAAAGGTAGACTTAACGGACCCAAATTTGCTTCTGCTGTAATAATTTTGACAGTTTATTTTGGATTTAAAACGTGACGCACGAAATAAAACACAAATTAAACATTTAATCAAAGGAATTAAGTTTTTAAATTCATATGAAATTATCATTGTCTGGACGAAGAAGAATTCTACGACTTATATTAATCAGCATTTTAGTTTTAATTTGGTCCGTCTTTTTCTGAAAATAAGTGATTTTCGGAACTTTTCGTAAAATAAGACATCCTCCGAAAATAATCCTTAGTGAAAATAATGCAACAAAAAGGATTCGTTAAAAAATGCTGTTGATTTATTATGTATAAGTAATAATATGTTTAGCTTTCCTAATACTCGTATTTCAGAGAAATGTTTGAAACAAAATATTGTTTACCTCTACACAGTTCGTTTCAAATTAATTCTTGGAATTTATCTTAACCAGTTCACCGTTTGCCCCGAGAGAGATACGTTCACAGGAAAGGCATCGTCATCCGTTAGCGTCGGCAGACTCTCGTCGGGGTGAAATTTGGGCTGAACCCCCGAGACACATACGACGCAGCGACGTTTTTCCAACCCCCACAGAATGAGTCGAAAATCAAAAGGGCTGAATGATGGGTAAAAAATTCATGGGAGAAAATAACTGATAGTTATGTTTCCAATGCACTACGAACAGGCTACTTAGACAAGAAGTATTCATTTAATGATAGCTATATCGCAAGACATGAGAGATTCGGACCAATGATTCAACAGGAAATGGATTTAGAAGAAAATTAGAATATAATTCAGAATTTTATTTATGACGATGTTTCAGAAGAAGATGACATACATGACTGTAATTGAATAAATTTAAATTTCTGTATTCTGTGTAAAATAAATATTAAATAAAAATATATAAATATACTTTTATTTTTGCCCTTCCCCGAAAATAAGCCCTAGCGCGTATTTTGGAACAAAAAAGAAAGTAAGACAGTGTCTTATTTTCGGAAAAAGACGGTATTACTCTGTCGACCGTGAAACTGTCGCCAAACAGCGCAATTTAGCGCTAGTTGTGGATAAAGGTGACTTAACACACTCGTAACACCTGCGCTTTCGCTTAATGTCAAACCGATTCTTTCTCGATAAGCTACATTTTACTTTTATGACCAAGGATAGAAATTAACTGTTATTGCTGTATATTTTTTTCTGCATTTTAAAATTAATGATTACATATGAGACAGAAGTTTGTACTCATAGCGTTCTGAACAGAGGTTCCGGTAAAATCGGAGGATCTAACAAAATAGTGGAAACTGACGAAGCGCAAAGCGAAGCGGGTTAAATACTGATGATCAATCCCGGCGAACGGGCTGGCTGCATGGGCCTTTTCGTGGTTTTGCCCATGTGTAACCCTGGATACGAGCCAGTTTCCCTTAAAAAGACCTCTACGGGGCATCCCTCCCTTTTCGTGTCGTGTCTAAGAGCGGAGCACGTAATAAGTAAAAAAAAAAAAAAAAAAAAAAAAAAAATACTGATGGTCAACGGGTTAATACATATAAATGCAGTTAATTTACATACATTAAAAAAAATTTTTATTTAATATAAAAGGGTAGTAAAGATTGAAATCATAGGCAATTTTCGGGTTTTTTTTTTGCTTTGGTATATTTTGTCGACGCCGGGTCGAAACCGATATAAATAGCTAAGCAGCTTTCACTTACGCCGGGAATAAAAACGTATTCGAACTCAAACTTAGTTGTTGAATCACGCATTCCTTTCATGATTATCATACGATTCATTTACTTATGATATAAGGATAAAATAATAAATAGAAAACATGAAAAAAAAAATAGAATTAAAACTATCCCGCATTCCGAATCAAAGCTTGCTTCAAATGAATCCCAAAACAACGGCTGATTGGGGTAATTACATTGGAGAGATGTGTGCTAATTCCTTGTTATCGTCTCGTAACATTAAGATCGATAAACGCAGCGAAATTGTGGAAATATGAAAACTTTTAAATCATTTTAAAAAATTAAAAAAATGTCTGAAATTTTCCGATTTTATATTATGCCCAAAGGGGGCTTTTTTTTAACGTTTTGCGTGTTACCTTTATTTATTAAATATCGTGTTCTTCGCACTTAAACCCTAAAATTCTGGCAAACAGCAAGTCATAAATATTTAAAAAAGAGGGAGCTTTAAACTTCCATACACCTCTCGCCGCGCGCTAGTAATTATTTCTCCCACGGAGGCCATTGCGCGCTTCGAAATCGTGATTTCTTTATCAGGACTCATAAATGCTTACTCAAAATAGAAATAGATAATAAACAACTTCTAAATTTCGGCTTCCAGATCCCATATTTGGGTGGAGACTATCAAATTTGATGGGTGTAGGTACCGTTGTTTTATCACAATGCGAGAAAAGTACATACATTTATGCAGATTCCTTATTATTTAATTTCTTTAAATATAATACAGGGCTGTAATATTTGGTGTCAACAATTCAAAAAGAGATTCGCCGTTTACAGTGAATCAACGCAAAATGTCAAAGCGAAATTAATAGCCTTTCTGGGCAAATTTTTCCTTTGGGTTGAAAAAAAAAAAAAAAAACTAAAGCATGTTTTTTTCCCCCAAAGTGGATTTTTGGAGATTTCTTCCGTGAAAATAAAGAATATTTCTTGTTGCTGTTTCAAACATTTTGCAATCAAAAAAGTGGAAAAATAAATGAGCCAAAATGCATCAAAAAGGTACCAAACATGCATGGTAGGGTTTTCAGAAATGTACCGCTTTCTTGGCCGTTTCTTCTTTCTTTTGGTGCCAGAGACATATGTATAGAATTAGCAAATCATGAAATTTTCAAGATTTTAGTTTAAAATGAAGTACAGAAAATATGTTAAATCTCATGTAATTAAATTACGCATCACCTATGAAGGTATACTCTGGAATGTAGGATAGATAAATGCAGATAGAGAAAAGAGTACGATAAAGAGAATTAGATGGAAGGAAGTGCTTCATATTTATGATTGCCGTACCATATGATTTTCGTTGGTACCTCTAAAATTACTTATACATAGTAGCAAAAATATTAGGATAGGTATTTAGCAAGTTGTCAACAACATCGTGGATGTCATAGATAAACTAATACATAAATACCGACAGTAATTTAACTTATGATTAGTTACTGAAATACAATTACAAATGAATTAACGAATTAACTACGTTATGTGAAAGCATTTTAAATTGGATGAGACTTACCATCGTTCAGTAATTGCTTCTGGTGATTCACATCGTACTGGTTACTGAATTTAAAGATACTCTTTTTCTTTGGTTTCACAAATACATTGATACTGTGCCATGATAAGGTTACTTTGTTGGCAGCATCGAAGGATGGAACTCTCTGCAGTATGGGATCGTCGCCCTGAAAGATAATGAAAAGGTAAGAATAAGTAAGGTTGTGTTAATTAATTTTATACAATATTCAAAAGAGGTTAAGGTTTGTTAAGGTTGTATTTTCGGCACTGTAGGGAAAGATGCTTTCGCCGCTAATATCAAATTAGAAACTGGAATAATTCTCGAATGCCTCCATTCAAATCAGCCTGAATCGAATCTTTCTCGGTTGACCAACTCAGCCATTGATGAACAAATTTATTCTAATCTTCCGTTACACAGACGGTTAGAATGAATATATTTACACATGAAATAAAAAATTTGTTTGTTTAATTATATAAAGTACGCGGCATGCATCTGCCAGAGGGACACAAACGAGGGAGGATGTTTTTTAAAAAACTGGTTCGTATTCACGAAACAGTAAATGTATCGATTCGTTGTGTACGATTTGATCCCGAGTCGAAACAGTGTTTAGCGGTCTTATTCTCTCAGCCACTGGTGAGTCCACGTTAATTAAATGTAATCAAAACTTCAAGGAACTATTAATTTATAACATTTTAAATTGAAATTTACTAAATATTTTTATTTAAATATATATTTATGACACCCTAAGCCTAAATACTGCCTGACTAAATTTGTAAAACTTCGAATTCGAACTAGTTGAATTCAAGTCTTGAAATTCTATTCGAAGAAAGAAGAGAAATTGAAACATTTACTATTAAGACAGGAAAAATTAAGGTAAAAATATTTCTGCAACATAAAAGAATTCTTTCTTAAAAATATTCTTTTGTATTCTCTTCTTGTTTAAGGTTTTATTTTCGGCACTGACTTGTTTAATTCTGAAAAGAGAAACAAATTAATAATTACAGGCTCATACTTTTACTACATTTAAAATGAGTAAACATGAACCAAGTATTATCAAATTAGCTTTAGAAATGAAGTGCCAAAGTTCAAATAAGATGAATAAAGACTTTGAACTTAGCATGTAATTTTTTTCCTTGCAAATTTCTTTCGAAGTACATATAAACTTTCAAAAGAATTTCGTTTTACTACATGATTTATATGACATGTTGTTCCAATATTAGAGATTTGCGTCTGGAATAAATGAGTCTGAATTTGCGATCTCTAATCTGTAGATTTATATCAAGAGTAAATTTATGAAAATGTAATATCTAATCGCTTGAACTAACATTGACTCATTAAGCAGTATGGGAAACAAATTGTCTTGTTTGCAAATACGATTACGGAAACTTATCCACGATATCACACTGTAAAAAGCTGGATATGTGCCATCTGGAATGCTTTTAGTACCTTTATCATCACTCCTCCACATCTGTGCTGACAGTTAACTAAAGTAAGGGCATGCGAGAATTATGCGTTATGTATTGCATCTCTTAGATACCATATTGAAATCTAGACCTCGGATTTTGTTGCCTGCAGAGAAGCGAATTGTACTAGCTTAGCAAAAGAATACCTTTTCACATCACCAAGATGAATTTACATTCAAGATATCAGATTGCAGTTAAGATATAATTGATGTTACCGGATTATTTAATAAAAGAACAGCACAAAGGTCCTTTTTAATTGAGAAATTAACGAGAAATAAACTTATTGTTATAAAATGCTATTCCATATAGGTACACGATTTTGTGTAAATGCAATTCTTCCATTACTTCTGAAAGTGTAATAAATGCAATTCTTCCATTAGATGACAGGATAATGACTAGAAGATTTTGGCAGCTATGACTTTTTTAAGTTAGTTGAATGTAGTAAAGCACACGTGGGCTATATGTCAAAGGGGAGGAATGCCTTCATAGAATGCTTTCTAGGGAAAATTCACTCGTATTCACGTTACATGGTTTAGGTTTATTTGATTATGCATAAGGCTTCATAGGACATAGTCATAATCGCTTCACTTAACGAAACGGATGCTTTTGTAGAAGATTTTCTAACGGAAACTGGATCATATACACGTTACACATGGGGAAAACTCCCATACAGCCAAAGCGTTCGCAGGGATTCGAACCCCGGACCGAACAACCAGTGTTCAGCATCATACCACTTGGCCACTGGTGGACACACATTACACATGAACAAAAAACACGAACACCCACCACGTAGCCAACCCTTTCGTTTGGGTTCTAACTCTAGTCGAACTCTCAGTATTCAGCGGTTTTAACCATTCGGACACTGGTGGGGGATTACACTACTTAAAAAAGTTCCAGAAATTTCACAACTGGCAACGAATTGTGCTTTCCATAGTTGCACAAAGAGCATTTAATCTAAAAGTCTTCAAGATTTATTTTATATAATTTAAATTATAATAAAATTTTAATATGAATATGATATGTATATACTATAATTACACGAAAGTTACCTTGAATATTTCAGCCCCTTTATATTTTAGGATAAGTTTTCAAAAAATAAAAATGTAGGTGAATATCTGATCAGAGTTTGATTTTAAGCTAATTCTAACCTAACTAATTAGAATGAAAGATAAGCTACTTAATTAAACGTAACATGGTATAAAAAAGGAGAACTGGGTAATGTCAGAGATATATTGTTACCTGTTTGTTTTCGGATATATCAGTGACCATTATAGCGGAAGCAGTTCAAAACTGAAGTCTCTTAGCTAGAGCACGAAAACAATTTTTAGTAGGCATTACTACCAATATATTTACCTTTTTAAATACAATATTTTAAAATTTATTTAATTTTTATATTAGTATTAAATAATGAAATTAATAGAAGAAAATTTATTATTGTATTCAAGGTTATTAGAATTCGGATAATTTTTATCTTATTAACTAAAAATTAAATAAATGTTGCCATTCGCATTAATGAGAGGGATAAGCTGCCGATTCTTGCACAGCTGCTCTGTATTTGGATGTAAAAAACACTGCAGAATTCTTTAAATCCCTCTTTTGTTGCTAAGATTGGAGTGGGAAATGCATAAATAGTGGAAGTGGTAAAAAATTTCATAAAAATATCAGTTTTGGGAAAAAAAAAGTTATAGACCATGTGTAATTTCCAAACTCTGAGATTTTAACTATAGTATGGTACATGCAGTCAGTTGTGTTTTCTTTTTTTTTTTGTCTTTTTTGGAAATCTGGGAAGACTGTAAGGACAGGCTTCGAGGACTAAGCGTTTTCCGTGGATCGCAGTTTGAGTTAGGTTTGATTTGGTTCATTTGATTACGATAAAGCGCGCAAGGCTGTGTGCCTAAGGGAAGGGATGCTTTCGTGGACGACTTTCGAAGGGAAGCTGAACTCTTATACATCTTACACATTGGGAAAACACCTATGCAGCCAGCCCGTTCGCCTGGAATTCGGACCCAGGTCGGAACTACCAGTGATCAGCGATTTTACCGCTTGCTCGCTGGTGGGTGATCACAGGTTTAGACACGCTGGTATGTGATAAAAAGAACATCTTCCTGTCGTTCTTCTATTTCATTTATCAAAATACTGAATTATAAGATCCTACCAAATGTTATATATATATAGTAAAAAAATGGGGTTATATTCGAGTAATCACAGTAATATTATTCACCATATTTGGAATAAAATTTCTGTTATAATAATGCAGATCGCTTAACGTGCTTTTGCTAAGAGATATAATAACTCCCCATAAAGCTTTTTCAGCATCTTTTCTATTAATGAGTAGAAATTAAAATTCCTAGACCTAGATCAGTGAACATTGCCAGTTTTGAATTTTAGAAATTTAAAAGGAAACATTTCGTCAAACATAGACATCTACAAAAAATTCAATGCAATTTAAAGAATGTCAAAAACACTTTATACAAATGTTGTAATTATTTAATTACTTAAACAAGTGGACGACAGAAAAAAAATATTTAACAAGAAGAACAATCCATTTACAAAGATATGTTGAGTTGTTGAAAAAACAGATATTCTTTAGCATATTAATGGATTTCAGCTATCCCATCAACCACTTGTAACCTTTTTGTATAAATCAACTGCCAGTTAGGGGGCCTCTGAAGGACTCAGTTAGTGTGCCGGAACTTTACCAGTTTTGTTTATGACGCTGTTGTGGTGCCCCACACACTTGTACCTGGCCTATGTTTACGAAAGATCCACATTAATAGCTTTCTCAACTTACCAAAAAAACTGCGAAAAGGGCTATTGTTTCTAAAGTAAAAGGTGCGAACTATGAAATTATCTTTCAGCGCTTGTTAATGAAATGATTGTAGGAGAGTAAGGCTCTAGTTTAGAGAGAGTACAATGTTTTAGAGCATTTTCGCAGGATGGTTTAGATTTTTACAAAGAATTATACGACAGGAGAGGGAGGTAAATGATGATAAAAGTAAGAATTAAGCAGAATATTGTACTATGAATATTCACATGAGCTCTAAGTTAGAGGATATTTTATAAGCCTTCTGAAAATAATCAAAGTTTTTTCTGGCATAAATTGATGCAGACTGTCTCTTCGGTTTAAGGCCGTTTCGTCTCACAAAGGACTTAAAAAATTTTAAGCCGGGAAAATCTGAATTTATAAAAGATTGTTACAACTGGAAAATATCCAATAATGCTGGAAGAAAAACTACGAACCTTAAAAAAATGGACCCAGAGCTTTATCCCATTTCCAAAGTAATCACTTTTATTTAGAATCTGTAGTATTCTTCACTGGCCCATTATGTTGCTTAAAGAGAAAAAAACACGCAACATGAGAAGTAACTATCTAAGGAAAAAACTGCTGGATTGGTTAACTGGAGTGCAGAAAGCATATGGGGGCTGTCTGCCTTAGGACGGATGGCTTCGTGGAGGATCCCAGCGAACGAACTGTATGCGTTACCACTAAAGTGCGGAAATTAGTTATTCTATAGATTATCTAACTAATCTGCAGATTAACTAGGGTGATCCTTGAAAGCGCAGAAAATTGTTTCATTTCTCAAATTACCTAGATAATCTGCACATTACCTACTAGGCACTTGTTAAACTGAAAATAAGATCTTTGCTGGAACAACAGCAACATACGCTTAAAACAGCCGCCACTTTTAAATTGTTGATTGGG